TGTGGCACATATACACCATGGAATACTATGCAGCCATAAAAAAGGATAAGTTCGTGTCCTTTGTAGGGACATGGATGCAGCTGGAAACCATCATTCTCAGCAAACTAACACAGGAACAGAAAACCAAACACTGCATGTTCTCACTCAAAGGTGGGAACTGAACAATGAGATCACTTGGACACAGGAAGGGGAACATCACACATCGGGGCCTATTGTGGAGAGCAGGGAGGAGGGAGGGATAGCATTAGGAGATATACCTAATGTAAATGACGAGTTAATGGGTGCAGCACACCAACATGGCACAAGTATACATATGTAACAAACCTGCACATTGTGCACATGTACCCTAGAACTTAAAGTATATTAAAAAAAAAAAAAATGCTGTTTAGACAATGGTTTCCCACCTTTACAAGTAGCAAAACAAAAGGTCACAGAGGGTAAGTTTCCTGGTCACACTGAAAAGTGGTGGGTGGCACTGATGCTGGAAGCTCTTTGGGGCATCCTGGGAGGCACCCATTCAAATTTAGCACAGAGGGAAATTTCCGTTTCTTGTTGAACTTCCCCACACTCAATGAAAATGAACTACATGATTTCTAATCTACCATTTACAGTGATATAGAGATGGACATGGCAAGGTCCCTTATCCCTAAGAGTTTAAATTTAGGGGGAAATGGCTTAAAACTAAATAACATAATGGGTAAAACTAACATGCTTAATAATTACATTTCAAGGGAGACAGGGAAATAACTGAAGATACAATGGAAGTGGCAGGTGGCTTCTGATCTAAGCACCAAAGAATAAACATAATCCCAGTAGGTTATAGAAAAAGGTGGCAGCTTTGGCATAAACAGGGGCATGAACGCCAGGCAGTGATGGTACATTCACAGAGGTATCAATACGTAGAGAAAGGGTGGTGTCTGGATCAGCACGGCAGTTCTTCCCTCAATGCCTTTGTTAATGAGTATCTGGGAAGTATTTTTTCAAGGACCAATTTGTTTGGCAAGGTTTTAGGACATGTTATTTTTGTAGGGAGGGATTTTTATGGACTAATGTCTTTTATTGAGAAAACAGTCTCTAGGTAGGCTGAAATCCATTAGTCTGAAAGGAAAAATGTCGACAGAGGCACAAACTAAAGATCTAATTACTGATGCACATGAAGTGGTTCACTGAATTTAGGGGCTCTCTGTGTGTGTATGTGTATGTATGTATGTGTGTGTGTAACAGACATATCTGACAGCAGGATTAAGTGTTAAAATTTAAATTCCATTGTCAGTTTTGTACAAAAGCTTAGAATTTCCCCATTTTCTGATCCCGTGGGTTTGACATATTAATATGAGAAAGACCATTAGTGGCACTTTTGAAACACAGGCATCATTAAAAAATACACAATGTAATATACAAGATGTGATTATAAAGAAATAGGATTGATTCCACAAGTCACACAGAAAAATCAGATTCATTATATTACAGTCATGCCTTGTATAAATTATAGTCCAGCCAACAGAGGCACTAAACATGCACTTTAATTTGGAGTACAGTACAGAAGTAACTTCACTATCTAATGAGATGAATTATTAATAAATGCTAAGATACTAAAAAAAAAATGCTTGTATTAAAAAGGCCAATGATAATCTTATGTATTTTACAAGTAATCTTCAATAAGCCACTATCATTTTATACTCAATTGAATCATACTCTCGATTAGTCTGATATAGTATACTTTAAATTGGAAGAAATTACATTGATAATCATTTTTTATCAATTCTTTCTGGTTTGGTGCAAAAAAATAAAAACAGCGATGAACTAAAAGCCAGTAAACCCAGTTGTGGTTGTAGTTGCACTGATGATAATCTCTCAACAGCTTTGGATCTTCATTTCTTCAGCTGTAATATGAAGGAGTCTCACTAGATGACTACTCTGCTAATATCTCATACAGCACTAAAACTATGCATATGCTATAGTCTAAAATTTGATATCTTAACAAGTACCCGAGTGAATATCATCAGTGAAAGTTGTGCTCATGTTCTGTTTGTTTTTGTTCATGTTGAGCAGTCATTATGAAAAATACAATGGTTTTTCTAAGGCAAAAAGCAAAGGAGAACACCTACAGGGATAAAATTGTTTTAAATTTTTTTTTCTGGTTTTTAAACAGCTATATATCCCATAGAAAATTTAAAATCCAAATATCACATTCCAGGTAACTATAGATGAAAGAGCAGCAAGTGCTGCAAATAAAAAATCATAGTAATTATTCAGTTGTCATTCTTCCTTCCAATACATTAAAAAATTACATAGGCCTTAATGAATTTTAATTTATAATCTAGGTGCTTTTATTTTGCTGAAGTTCGTATGGCATCACAAAAAGAAAACAACAACAAGAAAAACAAAAACAAAACTCAGGCTTTTGAAACACAACTCCCTAGAATAGACCAGTCGCCTTTTTTGCATGAAACAGATTTCAGTCATTTCAACACTAAGGTGTCACAATGAGTATAAGTCCTTGAAGTTCAAACAATACTATTCGTACTTCAAGTTCCAAATTCTACGTCTCATTCCCTCTAAAAGTCATGGATATCAAATGGTAAAGGGAAAACTGTTTAGAGCACAATTCTTTAAAAGAGTTTTTTGACCTAATAAGGAATACAAAACAGGAGTAACTCTGGAAAATAAAATTAAACTTTCAAGACAACTAAGGACACAATCCATTATTTCTCTCGAGTTTATCTTTTTGGTAGGATAAATGCTCCTCAGGAAGGATTAACTGAAGACCTATGAAGTTCCTTAGGAGTTATGTGGCAAGCAAAGCAGAACAGGCTCTTCTTTAACCTTACATGACATAGTGTCTTTTTGAAAGTTTCTAACAAAATAAACTCATTCTCTATTCAGTTTTCTTATCATAATGGCCATCCACAGACATTCCACCCCAAGTGTGGGTTTCCAGTGAGTAGCATTCTTTCTCTCAGGTTCAGAGTCATTTGCTTCACTAGCCTATTTTACATACACGTACTACCTTTTGATAACTCTTTTCACGGACTACAGTTTAGAATTTAAAACAGGCAACTTTGCTGCATATCTTATTGTTTTTCTAGGTGTTTTCAAAGCCCTTGATGTTTGGTGAATTTTTACAAAATGAATGAGGTTAACCTTCATTTTTCAGACTTTCAAAGTTTCTTTATGTTAACACAGACCTCTCATTTAAGGACGACTCATATTCATCTTGTTTAACTTTATTTTTAGGAAAATTTACTAAGCTCAGAGTAGATACAAAAGAGGAGATGTATGTAATACCAATCACATTTATTAGACAACTAAATACAGCTTAATTCCACTTACAATAAATGAGAGACTTACGAAGACAGAAACTTCGGCATTAAAATTTAAAGATATATTAATCATGTTTTCCATTGTATAAAGGTCCTTATCACAGCTGCATGGGAGTCTCTTGTCTTTTTCCGTTCCATGCCGAATATGTATGTCTCATTACAAGGTAGGCACTGTGAGCGAGTTGAAAATATAAAAGTGAATGGGGCAAGGATTTTACCAGCAAGGAAGACACACTTGTATCTAAGAATTTCTGCAGTAAATTATATGAATTAAGATAAAGATCTACTTAGTGGGGATGAGGGAAATTAGGTTAAGAAATTTAAAAGCTGAAGTTGACATTTATATAATATAATTAAATAGAGTATCACAGAAAATATAAACTTTAGCACAAAAAAAAATTGGCTTGTAAATGTTAATTTGCCTGCAGTTTGAAGAATGTCTGCTATAATAAAAGGTGCAAATACAGTTTGTTGCTAACTATTATCAGCTAGATTTGAAAATGTATCCCTTGTTTTGAAATACAAATGTACAACTCTCTAAGTCTACAACTCTAGAAAAGACGAGTGAAATACAGCTTTTGTAACATTCCCTTTTATTAAATCATCACCATCCCACCCCCATAAAATACATTTGTAGAGTTTTCTGTGATTATGTTTTAGTTTGATTTTAGGATAACAGAAATTCACATAAGCATTAAATTCCTTGTTTAAAATATCAAATGTACTTTGTATATAAGTCTTCTCATTTTATGCTACTTTGTTTTCCAAGTTAACTAAATCACCATGATATGGAATGAATAAGGCAATTTTTGTTACCTGAAAGGAAAACATACAATTCTGCTTGGTTCTTTAATTTCTCAGTGAAGATACACACATAACGCCTTAATCAAAACATGCCATCGAGTTTCCATTTCCCATAATTCCTTCTGCTTAGTGAACAAAGCCATCATAGGTATGTCAGAATGAAAGCAGGGATAAACTTCTTTTGAGCTGACGGAAATGCCGATGCAGCTTTTTATAACTGGAATACTGACCGTCAGCAAAACAGAGACTGGGTGGCTCAAACAGAGCCCATATTACATCTGATTCACTGATCCCTTTCAAATTCTGGCCCCAACCTTGGGCACAACACAAAACCTTCCTGAGCTCCGCTGGTGCTTTTGTCTGTTTGCAAAACAAAATACAACATAAGAATAAACGTTAAGGGAGTAAAACAGCACTTCTGTTTGGAAAAATCTCTCCCTTTTGGTTGTCTTAGATGCGTGTTCTATCTCGTGTTTTCAGCTAGTAACAATCCATCACTTGTTATTTAGCAATCTGTTAAGTAAAAACATCTATAGCTGCCCCAGCTTTTTCTCAAGAAGGAACTTGGGTGAAAAGTCAATAATATATGCTTTGCATACTCAGGAGCACTCAAAGTGCTTATAAGATAATTAAGATTTGTAGGGAGTTGGTTTCATATCCTAAATTGGGTATGAATCCAAGATTAGATGTCAAAAAGAGTGTATCTGGGAGACTTGTTAAAATACAAAATCTCATAAAGAAAGAAATGCATTTTATGTAAAATGAAAGACGCTCTAAGTGCAAACCATGCCTATAAATAATTTTGCTAATGGGTAGATACAAGATTCTCAAAGAGTGCTTCTTCTCCCAGATTTTTACACACCATGAAACTTTCTGAGGATTCAGATAGGCTGCCAGCATGAAGGCAGAGCTACCTTTAACAATGGATGGTCAGATGTCTTGTTTTTAAACATTCCCCTTTCAACAATCAACTTTCTAGTTCACACCATATGCTAAGGTGTTTGGTACAGCATAAAAATATTGTCGGAAGCAGTAAAATAACTTACAGAAATACTTTGAGACAATGCTGAACCTTAGGATTCTGAGAGGTGAGACTGTGAAGAAGTGAGTTCCAGTAAGCTGCAGAAATAACCAGAGTAGAAGAAAGAAGGCAATGACACCTCCAAGGAAAAGCAAAGCTAACCACTGCTTAAAATATGGAATTCATACAAAAAAAAATCTATAAATTGGATATGGGAAAACTTACAAAAACTTGGTAGACAAGTGTCAAACACTTTTGAGAGGGGGAAGTAATGTTTTGGGCCAAACAAATATACAGGCTGAAATTATAAATGAAAACCTAAAGGCTAGCAAAGCTCTCAAGAGGTTATTGTTTGAACACGAACTAGAGATCTAGCCAGAGTAATGGGAATGGGAATCTCAAAATAAGAAGCATATAAAAAGAGATGATAAGGAAATAATCCATAGGAACGGGTAGCTAATATGATGTGGGTATAGAAAATAGCGATTGAAGGGAAGTAAGGAGTCCAAAAGGATGCCAATGTTTTGAATCTTGACTTGGCAAAAGATGAATAGAAACAGGTTAAATCTCAAGGAGGAAATAGTTTTATGAAAGACTGTTTTTCAGAACTGCTGATTTAATTCAGCATTAAAAATATATATGAGGGCTGGGTGCAACGGGTACACCTATAGTCTCAGCAATTTGGTAGGCTAAAGCAGGCAGATTACTTGAGACCAGGAGTTCAAAACTAGCCTGGGCAACATGGCAAAACTCTGTATCTACCAAAACTACAAAAATTAGCCAGGCCATGGTGGCGCACACCTGTAGTCCCAGCTACTCAGGAGGCTGAAGTGGGAGGATTGCTTTAGCTCAGGAGGTGGAGGCTACAGTGAGCTGTGATCGGACCACTGCACTCAGCCTGGGTGACAGAGTGAGACCTTGCCTCAAAAAAAGGGGTGTGTGTGTGTGTGTGTGTGTGTGTGTGTGTGTGTGTATGAAATGTGCCTGTTCTGAGTGCTAGGTATAAAGGACTCATAAACTAACCCCAAGGCCTTACTCTGCAGGAGCTTCCCCAGTCCAATTATAGAAACCAATGCATGTATTTTTTTTGTACAGTTGAAGTCCCAGGAATCAAGTGAAATCTCTCAGGGAGAAAGTCATGTCTAATCTAACATTTTCCTGCTTAGATTATCTTGTTTACTGGTCTTACTGACAGAAGACATCTGATAGCCCCCTGTACGCAGACATCTCTTCAAAAAGGCATTTTAAAAAATGTACTGATGTTAGCCTTGTTTTAATAAATTCAAAACTTATTGAATTTATTAGTTTCTTTACTCATGGATCTTTAATAATTTGTGTGTTTCCTCTGCACCACATTTTAATTTGCTACCACCTTTTTCAAACGTAAAACTCACAAAACTAAAATTTTTAAGAGCAGAACTGCTGGTGCAAATTACTGTCATCACAACAATGTTTGAGTACCTACTGAATGCAAAATACCTTACAGCTTCTGGAACTCCTATGAAGACTTGGCAATTTCTTGTGGGCTTAAAAATCTTGGAATGTATTAATGATAATTGAGGGATCCACATCTCATCTCTGGGACTGTACACAGGACAGTAGCCTTTATGTGTCTTCATACTCTGTTAGTTCCTTGTTTAAACAATGCCCTGCCACCAGACTGGGTCTAATGTCATACAAAGTCCCTTCATTTCTCTCCTTTCCACAGTTACTGGAAGCTAGCAAGTCCATAACCTACATTGCCTAGCCCCTTGCATGAATCCACATTTCTGACACCTCAGGATTGTGTGGCATAGGGAAGGGCAAGGATACACGACTCACAGGATGTCCCGCGTTTGAGTTCAGGGCAGGGTGCTACAGGAACTCTCTGATTGGCTGCATTCCTTCCATGCTAGTTCCAGTCTTCTCTTGGACTTGGGAGACTGGTATTGATATTTCATTGATTTCGCATATATGATCATATCTGATCCTTGGAACTCCAGGCTGAGTAGGCAGCAACTCATATTTTCATTTTATAAATGAATTAATTATGGCTCAGGGAGATTAAGCAACTTGCCCCTAGGTACCACAACTGTCAAACAGAACAAACTGCCATTATTAGGGACCAAATGAACTATAAATAACAATAGGTTTCTAGCTCACATTTACTTTATGGGTTGTTATAATTACCTATTTTCTGCTCTACCAGTGCCAAGTCAGGATTTCAGAGTCTGTATTGTGTGTTTTTTTGTCAAGTTCTTCTCACTACTAACTTGTAAGGATAATTTTCCTCCAATTTTAAAAGTTGTAGAGGGTTAGGCAATTCCACACAATTTGGAGTTCTGTGTGGTTTATAAAACAGATCTTGATATTTTACAGTGATTAGTATAAACACAAGAAAGCAAAGATCGGTCAACATTTATGGCTCAAGAAAAAGAGAGTATTAGACAACCAACAAATAGTTATTTCTTTTTAACTATATGCTGATGACAATGCACGCTTTAATACTGGCAACAACTGACCGGCAATGCCAAAACCAGAAGCAAATCTCATTTTGACTAACTGAACACAAATAAAATTTGCAAAAAGCTTGTATTATGATCATATCTTAAAACGGTGCTACTGATGACTGAATAATTATTTGTTTAGTTGGAGGCAACGATGCTTACTGAAAGTTGATTGAACATTTGTGCACAGGGTCTCAGAGTGAATCCAAACAAGTGTGTGGCATGCTGGGGTACTAAACACTCACTTTATGGCTAAAACACTGCTCTTAATAAAGAGAACCACCCCAGATTTCTTGTATGATCAAGATAATAGTACTCCTAACTTACAGCTGTGAAGCACTTTAAACGATACAAAACTGCCCTCATATAAGCAGAAGGCCAATTATAATCCCTGACATGGCAGGACTCCAAAAACTGTATGCCAGCGGAGCGAGTTCCATCACATCAGTAATTAACTCACTTCCAAGTAGGTAAAATTCCATGAACAGACAATGTTAATTTTCCTAGGTCAGCATCCTGATAAAAATTGTGTTCCAACAATCTGCAGTCAACACAAAAACCTTTAGGTTTACCTCCTGTTAACAGAAATGTTCAGAACAAAATTATCCATAGGCAGCAAAAATAGCAACTGCTTGAAAAATATCAGATGCAGAGAGCAGAGCAAACAATATAAAGTAGATGCTGAAAAAATACAGTCCAGCCAAGCTTCAATGTAGAATTCTATAAACCCTTATATAGCAAATATTGCCCTACTAAGTGCAACAAAAGTATTATACACAGAATGCCAAATGGGTGACTCCCATTCCAGCTTACCGGAGACTCACAGTGTAGTGAGAGCACAACAAATACCAAGTATTCTAGTTCATTATTCTCACATGGAAAGATCTTTGATCCACTGATTGGGTGTTTATGCCAGACACACTCCACAGATCATCTCATTTAATCCTAAGAACAACTCTAAAAGGTAGATGTTACTTTAGAAATAAAAAAACTCCTGAGTCATAAGGAGATAAAATACCAGACTCAGGATGACACTGTGGTGGAACTAAAAATGTCTGAACATCACTGTGTGATTCCAAATCCTGGTACGCTTCCTCAAAAAATCACATGGGCTTTCAGTTACTGGGGAGGGGTCCACAATGAGTACATACTGAGAGTAAAAACATAAATCATGAATTAGTAACTTTATGAATAAAAATATATTTTCCTTAGGAGCAGCACTAGACTATAAACTTAGAAAATAATGAAATCTTTATCATTTGATACATTCTTCAAACAATCGCTTTTACTTGGCATGTTTTCAAAACTGGTGTTCTGAAGAGAAAAACATTTTATTTAGAAATAAGGTATACATAGGGACCAGGGCTACATAAATGATTTTGACTTTGCTGAAAATAAGCACAAAACAAACAGAATTCAATTATTTTCTCATTGTAATCACACATGGCATTTTATATAAAATAAAAAGAATGGATTTCTACTGAATACTTTCTACTTTAATCAAAGCCCAAAATCACACTCGAGCCTCACCAGGCAATGTGCAAAGATGGACAGTCAGCAGGCGATGGTGTTTTTAATGGATAAGTGTCCATGACAACAGGAAAAAATGCCACAGCAATGCACGCAACACTGTTAGCAGACTCAAGAGATTAGGGTAGAATTAACCTAGTGATTCCTTCCTTCTTTCAGACGAATCATTCTTAACAGAATTAAGAAGCAGTGCAGGCAATATGGGCCTGCCTCAACATAGTTTTTATACCTATTCCTGAATTTGTAGAGGACTTGTGTTCTCCCTAAGTGCTGCCACTATTCAACATTTCTACAGTGTAAATATTTTCTTGTACTTTATAAACAACTTTATAGTCTACAATAACATAAATATGTAAAAGTATACCATTCCAATAAATATTTCCAATTACCTACGAATTTTACCCTGATTTCATTTAAATATAGTTTATTTATGAAAGAAACAAATTAATGCCCAGCCCTTTAAATAGCAGTCTTTAATTTTTACTATGTCCATTGTAGATATCACTGAGAAACAGTCATATATTAAGAGGGCAATCATCACCATAAAAATAGCAAATATCAAAGTTGTAATTAGTATATCTGAAATGCCAAACTGCTAATAAGCCCTTTTCATTTACACTATATATTTTTTCTATTTTACTAGTACATTCTAGTCTTAATGTTTTTAACAATATAAATATAGGAAACTTAAAATTGTTAGTATTATATAACTAGAACCATTTATTTTGTTTATTCATAGACAAGTTTTTCTACTTTTAAAATACCCAATAAGACAGCATTGGAATTAGGGAAATAATGCTTTATTACTTTAGGAGCATTTCAGTTTAAAAGTTCTTTAGTAATTCCATCATCAACCTGACTCAGATGACATTTAAGGTGATCTGTCTGATGTTTTAATACCTTTACAGAATGGTATTACGGTTGGTGTATCTACGGTGATAGTCTTGATATTATACTACCAAAGTATTTACAAATCTTGAAGTTTGAGAAATTCTATTCTAATTTTCATGTTGAAAACAAGGAGACAAGTTGTCTTACTTTAACATATCTTATAAAATTATTCATCCATTCAACAAGCACTTACTGGCTACCTATTACGTTCCAGGCACTGTTAGGGGCCCTAGGGATACTGCAGTGAACAAAAAAGAAACCATAAAAATACACACACACACACAATGTTTGTGAAAAATTAAAGAAAGATTTGCATAGATAAGAACAAGTTACTACAGGAAATTAAGGATTTAAAAGTAGAATGTTAGCATTCTTTCTATTTGAAGTCTAAATTCAGGATCTCGTCTTTTCCCAGCAAGAAAAAAGAATAATAAAAATCAGAGTAAATGCTTCTAGCTGGAAACTAGGCCTCATACAGAAATGGAAGGAATAAAGCTCCTTACTACTAAGGAGAAATAATGTTGGTATTTGAAAACTGAAGATATGGATCACAATAAAAAATATTTGCCAACTTTGTGTTCAATCAGTCAAGAAGAGATTTGCTTCTGCTTCTGGCACTGCCAGTCAGTTGTTGCCAATATTAAAGCAAGAATTATCATCAGCATATAGTCAAAAAGAAATCAACTATTTGTTGGCTGTGATATATATACACCATGGAATACTACTCAGTCACAAAATGGAACAAAATAATGGCCTCTGCAGCAACTTGGATGGAGCTGAAGGCCATTATTCTAAGTGAGGTAA